GGAAGAGAGTTTTGACTCTTTCCCAAACAATGACCCATGATCATTAACTAAAATGCTCACAGCTTGATTTATTTGTAAAATTTGTTCCAAGCAAGAACTTAAATTCAGCAAAAGTTAATTGGTGTACTTAAATCTGCAGTTTTAGAATCTCTTCGATTATTCAACACTTCCCTCCATGAAGTTTTCCAGTATTTCTTTCTGCACACATTTAATATAAAGATATAAGTCTATTGAAGCTGAAAAATCGCTTGCTGTTGGCTTATCAAATTACCAGAATCTAAGATAAACACTTAGCAACAGTGATTTGTTTTGAAATATATAAAGAAAGGAACATGAACATTTACAGAATACAGTGAAATAGTTCAAAAATATATTTAATGAAACTGAAGAGGCTTCTCTTTCCTTTATTAATTAGCTCTTAGAGAAGTGGGCAGAGAAAGATATAATAGTACTTACCCTTCACATGACTTTTGAAACCTGGATAAGGTGTAAACACTGCGTCAGTTCTAGCACAGCTGTTTTCTAAAGATGTTTTGAACAAAAAAAAAAAATTCATCATTTCAACCACTTAGGGAGCTCAGAATTCATTCCAAATGTTCAACAAAGTAAAAAAATATTGAATTCAGAAATTATGCCTAAACTACAAGACATCATGGCTTAATTCAGTAAATTTGCTAAAATTATAAGGATATAAATGATTATGGCTTGATATGTCTGATTAAGCTTACCTTACTTTAACTACGTTCTTGGTTTGTCAGACACAGAGGATAACAAGAATAATTCTGGAATGTCTACAGATATGTTTTTACTAAGATTCTAATCTGAAAAGTATTTCATTTATACACAGGATTGAAATAATTTTGCAGAGCCTTGTAATATATATTTGCCCAAAGAAAATCATACTGAAGTCTGTAAGGTTTAGCCCAAATATATAGGCACAGGATTGTATACTGGTGAAAATGTAAACAATCTTAAAAATACACTAATTTCAGTTAAGTCAGAAGAACAGTCAAACCCTTTCCTCACCTTTTATAAAAAGTGAAAATATATATAAAAAACCTATACTTTTAAACTTTTTTATATTTATAAAAAGTGCATATTTCTAAGATGTAATATTACAAAATACACATTAGAATATACAATAAAATATGCATTATTTAATCAATTCAATTGAAACAAATATATTTTATATACAATACATGGAGATATTTTTTTTGATAATTTTCATAACTGAAAATCACTATCACAATAATTTGGATCAAAATTTTATTTTGAAGCAAGCCATTTTTCTCTAAGTAAAGAAATAAAGGTTTTAGCAAGAAACATAGTGCTCATTTCTGTTAAGTTATATCAAATATTACATAAAATACTTTGTATAATAAATAAATTATTTCATTTGGAAACAAATACACTGCTCAAAAAAAAATAAAGGGAACACTTAAACAACACAATGTAACTCCAAGTCAATCACACTTCTGTGAAATCAAACTGTCCACTTAGGTAGCAACACTGGTTGACAATCAATTTCACATGCTGTTGTGCAAATGGAACAGACAACAGGTGGAAAGCATAGGCAGTTAGCAAGACATCCCCAAGAAAGGAGTGGTTCTGCAGGTGGTGACCACAGACCACTTCTCAGTTCCTATGCTTTCTGGCTGATGGTTTGGTCACTTTTGAATGCTTTCACTCTAGTGGTAGCATGAGACGGAGTCAACAACCCACACAAGTGGCTCAGGTAGTGCAGCTCATCCAGGATGGCACATCAATGCAAGCTGTGGCAAGGTTTGCTGTGTCTGTCAGCGTAGTGTCCACAGCATGGAGGCACTACCAGGAGACAGGCCAGTACATCAGGAGACGTGGAGGAGGCCGTAGGAGGGCAACAACCCAGCATCAGGACCACTACCTCCGCCTTTGTGCAAGGAGGGACAGGAGGAGCACTGCCAGAGCCTTGCAAAATGACCTCCAGCAGGCCACAAATGTGCATGTGTCTGCTCAAACGGCCAGAAACAGACTCCATGAGGGTGGTATGAAGGCCTGACGTCCACAGGTGGGGGTTGTGCTTACAGCCCAACACCGTGCAGGACGCTTGGCATTTGCCAGAGAACACCAAGATTGGCAAATTCGTCACTGGCGCCCTGTGCTCTTCAGATGAAAGCAGGTTCACACTGAGCACATGTGATAGACGTGACAGGGTCTGGAGACACTGTAGAGAACGTTTTGCTGCCTGCAACATCCTCCAGCATGACCGGTTTGGCAGTGGGTCAGTAATGGTGTGGGGTGGCATTTCTTTAGGGGGCCGCACAACCCTCCATGTGCTCGCCAGAGGTAGCCTGGCTGCCATTAGGTACCGAGATAAGATCCTCAGACCCCTTGTGAGACCATATGCTGGTGCGGTTGGCCCTGGGTTCCTCCTAATGCAAGACAATGCTAGACCTCATGTGGCTGGAGTGTGTCAGCAGTTCCTGCAAGATGAAGACATTGATGCTATGGACTGGCCCACCCGTTCCCCAGACCTGAATCCAATTGAGCACATCTGGGACATGTCTCGCTCCATCCACCACTACATTGCACCACAGACTGTCCAGGAATTGGGGATGCTTTAGTCCAGGTGTGGGAGGAGATCCCTCAGGAGATCATCCGCCACCTCATCAGGAGCATGCCCAGGCGTTGTAGGGAGGTCATACAGGCATGTGGAGGCCACACACACTACTGAGCCTCATTTTGACTTGTTTTAAGGACATTACATCTAAGTTGGATCAACCTGTAGTGTTTTTTTCCACTTTAATTTTGAGTGTAATTCCAAATCCAGACCTCCATGGGTTGCTAAATTTGATTTCCATTGATAATTGTTGTGTGATTTTGTTGTCAGCACATTCAACTAGGTAATGAACAAAGTATTTAATAAGAATATTTCATTCATTCAGATCTAGGATGTCTTATTTTTGTGTTCCCTTTATTTTTTTGAGCAGTGTATATTTACTGTCTGAAATGAAAATCACTTATGATAGGAACAGATATGATCTCTTGAAAGCTAGAGTCTTTTTTGTTTCTAAGAAGAAAATGTCTTGTATCATACATGAGTCACGATTTGTTTTTGGTTTTACTTATAACTAGAAAATTGTGCTTGATAACTGGATTTTATTTAATCCATTTTAATAGTCATAATATGGATATCAAATTTCTATCTTTTATTTAACAAGCCAACTTTTAATATCGAGTAAATAAGACTCTTAACCTGGAAAGATGGCAGGTTAGTAACATGATTTGAGCTCACTGGTGTAGCATGAATGAAATGTAATTCTAAAAACAGACTTTTGTGTAATGACAACCCATCATATCAATGTTTTGTTAGAAAATTCACCAAGAGGACCACAGCTACCACTCTTGCTAGAAATTTGGTCTAAATAAATGGTAGTCATTAAAAAAGGTCAAATTAGCAAACTCCACATTTAACCAAAAGTAATTTGGAATGCTATTAAGAAAAAGGCTAAATGGAATTCTCTTATTTTTAACAAGCTTTTCTATTTTAAACAAAATTTCAATTTGGAAATATTTTACTCCTATTCACTGCATTAATACATTTGTTGAAATGTGAATAGATCGTTATTTTCTGTTTTATTCCATGTTTTGGTTCTAAACTGAGTGGGGTTTATTCCCATATAAATTACAATCCAAGTCCTATATAAAAATACATATCAGCTGCATTGTATTCTAGGAAACTGGCTAAAAGACTATATATATTTGGAAAACCCAAAGGTGCTTTTTCCGTAGATATACTTGGAAAGAAATAATTTGGGGGTCAGTTGGAATGTTATTATAAATGGTATAGATCTATTACAAGAAATAAAAACATCTAATTTTTTGTTTAATCAATATTTTTCTCATTGTTAACAGGCAATCTAGTTCCCTTTTTAGGAGTCTTTATTGAGGAAGAGGGGAAGAAAAATGGTGATGTTGCAAGAAACCATTTGGCTGCATAGCTACCTTGATTACAATCCATAACATTGCAAAATTCTCTGACATTGTTTTCATTGATCTCAGCTTGTTTCCTTTCAATGAAGGCGGATATTCGTCTTTCAATCTGTAGGTAAGAAACAACTTATTTAGTGTTCATTATTCAGACTGAAAGGATTTTGACTTGATAGGAAGAAATGGTCCGACATTCACTTACTTCAGCTTTCCCGGCTTTTATTTGAACTATTTCTGGGTCAAAACCAAAAGGACCTTCTTTCAGATATGCAGAGCCACTGGCTGTAGGTTTCATTTCCTTCTGTAGATCTTTATCTATTACATCTGAACTACTTTCAAAATGTCCATATTCTGTCTTACTAAAATTATACATGGGCGAAGTATTTTCTTCTTTAATCAAAGGCTGAAGTTTTTCCACAAAAAGCTAGGTAATAGGAGAGAAAAAGAATTGATTTAAAGCAACAGAACATTTTTTTTAAAAAAGCTGAGATTTCTAAAACTCCTTAAAATAATTTCAGAGACCATATGTTCTCATTATTGTGTACATAATCTAATCAAATAAGAATTGAAATATCGCATCTCAAAGTGTCACTGCCCTTTTGATCACTGCCTTTTACTAATCTGTGTATTATTAAAAAAAAAAAAACCTCTAGAGAGCTCAGACTATCAGAGCAAATCTGTCTGTTACTCATCTATTTTGTACCAAATCAAAGCAGCAGCTTTTGGCACCAATACCACTTAATTTACATGTCATTCAAATGCTTACTCAGAACATTAAGGCTTAAGCATTTTCCTCCTTAATATGAGAGCCAAGACTCTCATTCTGTTAAAGGTTTTACTTTAGCATTACATCACTGACAGCATCTCCACTTGAAAGGGCAGCCACCGAAAACACAGGAGAGAAAGTAAATATCCTGTTCCAGATTCATACCTATCCCAGTGCAGCCAATATTTGAAAAACAAATGCTCTTTATTTCTATATTTCTTCTTGCTTTAATTTAAAAACCGTAATTTTTTTTTAATTTTTTTTTACAACTATGTCATAAAATACAGGAAAAATGAAAGCTCCACAATTCTTTAATGCCTCTGTGTTTTAAAAATAATGACACAATCCTGAAGAGTACTTTCAAATAATACAAACACGGAAGAGCTGTGCAACAATTATTATTTCTCCTGCTCCCATTGACAGGAAATTCTGAAAACAGGATTTTACGCTATGCCAATCTACATAAGTTTTAGTAAGCATTATTTATTTTGAAAATAATAAAATTGATGATTCTATAAAAGTAAACATATTTTTTTTAGTTCCTGTGAACTAAAAACTCACAAGAACTAGTTTTTGCTCAGTCTCCAATCAATCAATTTTATTTACTTTTAATGTGTACATTTAAAGTGATGAAATATTCAGCTGAAAATTTCCACTATTATGGTGCCACATGAACTGACTGAAATGGTGCCAATAATGTGGTAATTTTTTCCCAAAGGCGATGCTGCCGACAGATTACATTCTAATTTGACAGGAAAGTAAACCAATTAAGGATATATTCTCACTGAGTACTAGGCAGAGGCCGTAAGATTTGCACTAGTAATTGAGCCAAGATTCAAACAATGCAACTTAACTTTAATAAAGATTTAAAAGGCATCAGATGAAAATGATGTAACACTGAAACTATTTACTTGATAAATTGAAACATTAGGCAGAGGAAAAAAAAGTTCCTTTAAAAAGATCTGGGCTGGCACTAAGGTTAATTGCTGATACGCACATACACCAGGATGCATCATGCTGGGATAATGCCCCTTCTTGATCCACTGAAAGCACTCCACAAACTGCAGAACTCACCCAACGCATGGAATCATTATCCTAGCGTGACTTACACCTGCCGTGTTATTGCTTAATTATAACCACCCCAGATACAAATGTACTGCATTTACAGTGGAAGTGCAGAAATCAACAGGAATGCATTTTCCCAATCTACTTAACCAGAACAGCTTGCAATATTATTTCCACAATACTTCCAATAAACCTGTTATCTTAGAAACAGTGAGGACCTTTAGGAAGTGAAGAATTTCTGGTGTTCCACATAGTTAGCTACAACTATTGCAAATACATCAGTTTTAACAGTAGTGTACAGGATTTAAGGTTTGAATTGTGCAATTAGGTTTTGGAAAAGTGCTTAATAAGAAACATTTACCTGTAAAGAGGAAATATGCTGCTGAAGAGCAGTAAAGAGCAATTTAGGCTGGGGTGGTGACATGCCTTGAAATTTCTCCCAGTTTATGTTAATTTTCACCACATCTTCCTCAAGGTTAAACTTTAAAATTCAAACACATAACATCAAAAAGTTATGATGTAAAACATTAGCAATTATACTAGAAGGTAAGATCTGAATAAAATGTGAGCTAAGAACTGCCATGCAAGATTAGATCAATGGCCCACCTCGTCTGGCCGCTTGCTTTCCATACAGGCAATCAGAAGACCCAATAACAAACTTTAAAGACAATAATTATTGCTGCACAAATTCTTTGAAATTAAATATTCAGAATCCATCTGACTAAATACAAAGCCCTTCTTTTCCAACTATTAAAGCTATTTTATTTTTTAACAGGTAGGCTTGCAGTAGTGATTTGAAAAGTTCTCCTGGATGTTTCCACAAGTTTATTTCAAATGTAAAAATTTGCAAATATGTCTGTTTTTAAAAAGTGTGTTTGAAATGTATTGTCTTAGAGAAAGTAGCTTACAAAATAAATAAGGGAAGATGTAAAAACATGTTATTGGGAAAAAAACCTTTTGAAGTTTCCTTAAAAATTACAAACTGATAAAAGCTAAAATGAAATAAAGATAAAGAGAGAGAGAGAGAGAGATAAGAGATAGATATAGATAGATGATAGCTATCTGTACCTTGATCAAGCAAAATATTATTAAACTTGGAGATGTCTTGTTACATAATATACTTATTGTAAACATTGGATTTTTATTGCAATATGTTGCATGCAGTTGCAGATTAATATATTTTATATTGTTCAAGCTCAAATTTATTTATGGATAAAAATCTGTGCTTTATTATCTATCTTCTTAGTCCCTAAGGTGCTTTTTCAAGAAGCAACTGGACTTTCTCATTTTTCTTTGAAGACGTTTTGCTTCTTGGATGAGAAACAAAATATCTTCAAAGAAGATACCAGAAAGTTCAGTTGTCTCTTTAAAAAGCACCTTTGGGACAACCATGAGCTGTATCAGTGGTAGCCAACCGGTGGCCTGCGGCCCACTGATGGTCCATGAGAAAATTTTGGTGGGCCGCAGAGAAATATTCCCCCCAAAGCAATTAATCCAGGCTGTGCAGGAACACAAGGCTGGGCTGCCCACATGGCCTGCCCACCCGTTGGCCTCCACCCTTCGGCCAAGTGCAAACCTGCAAAAAGCAGCACAGCCCTCGACGGCCAGGATGAGGTAATAGTGCTGTTGCAGCAAGAGGGGACTGGCAGCACAGGCGGGCTGAAACGGCGATGGAGATGGGCGGAAGGTGCAGGAGCGCAACGCCACTTGCATTTGTGCGGCACTCCCTTCCCCTCCAGCTTGCCTCTTCTGGCCTGGATTCTTCCTCAATGGCTGCGGGCTGTAGGGATGGCCCAGGACAGGAAAAGTACCAGGTGGGGGGGGAGGGGGCAGAGTGGGCAAGTCTGCACTCACCATCCAGTTCAGAGGTCTGGAATGGGGTGGCAGGGATGGCGTCAGTTTTCTCGTCCCTCTGCTCAGCTGTCCCTCCCCACAGCCCCAGCCATAGCTTCCTGGGGAAAGCACAGCAAAAGTGAGCAGAAACATAGCTTTCTCTGGGGCAAAAGAGCTGAGGTCGAGGAAGGTACAGGCAAGAAAAGATGGAAGCCGCTGCCTTGGAAAAGTGCTGCTTTCTGTTGCTGGTGCCTTCCGATCTCTGCTCTTTTGCCCCACCAAGAGCTATGTTTCTGCTTGCTTTCTTTTCCGATGGGGGGCAGCAGAGACGTCAGGGCTGCTCTCCCCCCTCAGCAAGCCAGGCCTGGAGGAATGCGAAGAATTGCGGGCGAGCGTCAGATAAATGTGTGTCGGCATTTCCATCGCACTCTCCTCTGTCCTGAAGTAGGATTGAGTGGGGGGAAGAGAGCAGGGGGAAGGGTAGGAGGGAAGGAGAAGCCCGGCTGGCTTTCCTTTAGCATGGGGTGGGGGGAGGAAGACCAAATGCCCAGACCAAAAGTGTGCCAAGGAACATAGGCTCCTAATAACCAGCCTTTTGTGCAGGCTCCAGCTTTTTGGGCTCAACTCCCCCCTCCTTCGGCCTCCAGACAGGGTGGGACCCTTCTCTGCTTGGAAGCGGCGGGAGAAACCTAGAGCTTAGCCTAGGGGTGTTCTCTTACGTGAAGACTGAAGGGGGGTGTTGCCTGGTTATTAGGAGCCTGTCTTCCTCGGCCCTTCCAGCCCAGCCCTCCTTCCCTCTCCCAACTCCAAGCAGCCACACCTGGCTGGGAGGAGATATTATATTATATTAAATATATTATCTTTTTTAAAAATTCGTATTACTGGTCCTCGGGATTTAAAAGTATGAGCTTGGTGGTCCCTGAGGTCCAAAAGGTTGGCGACCCCTGACCTGGATGACTGAGAATTTCTATAAACTAGTATTTCTGAAAACTCTGTAGTTGTCACTCAAAACGTAATTCAGTAGAGTGAATCGGGGGGGAGGGGGGGAGACATCCTATTACAGTTCATTTCAGCTTTGCCAGGTTTGGTGTTAGCAACATCTTAATGGAGACCAATTAACTTTGTTTTGATTATTGAAAATAAATTACTCTTCTCATTTTCCAGAAATCATGGCTCACTGAATTCTGTGGCTGTCAAATTTCAGCTTGTTGGTAAATTGAGGTATTCATAATGATTAGAACTTATATTTATAATCACAAGCTTCAGGACACATAAAGATATGCCTTACTCTCAATGTTTTGGGCTTAAAACCTGTCTTCTCTAGATTATTTTCTAACAGTTTCCTGTTTTGGGACTCAGGTTTTTCTGGTTTATGCCTTACGCTTTTGGATTTTACTGGACTAAAAATGTTTTAATGTTTGCATTCTTGTAAAACTGCTGAGAATTTTATGGGAATGTGATGAGATACAAATGAAATAAATTAATATATCTAATCTACGATAAACAGATTTCTGTATGAGTAAAGAGCAGAGGATGTGAAAATATGTAATATGTTTTCCTCTCTTCTGTCTATATTCATCTAAAATTGCTTCAAATGATCCCCAACATATTTGGGGAAATTGTGGTATAGTGATTGACTTCCACACAAATTGAAGTCCAGATTCAACCATGGAAACTGATAGGAAATTTAAGGCTACTTACAACCCTCAACCCAATCTACTTCACAGGTTTAGAACTGTTGAATTGAAGAAAGTGCTGTGTGTGTTATATTAAGTAAGCACAGGTGAATAAAAACTGATCTTTTTTTAAAAAAAATTAAAAAACTGGATTTTAAAAAAATTTAAATTGGATTTAAAAAAAATTAAATTAGATGTTTTTATTTTTATCAAATTTATTTTAATAAAATGCTTTTGGAGTAAAAATCTATCTAAAGATAGTTTTCTATTTAAGATACATTAATAATTTAGTTTATTCAGCATGAAATGGAGCTTAGTTATGTAGTATGAGGCTGTATATTCTGCAATATTTAAATTTTTGATAAATTCAAACTCTGCAAACTGAGATAACATGCATTCTAAATAGGAAACCTTTATTTTGTTTACAAATAATAATATTAAAGATTCTAACTAGCAGCAAGAATGAGTCCTTACATTTAAAGAGCACTTGTCATTTCAGATCCATCATGGCAGCACCTGTTAGCGGGCATCTATTCACCTGCTGCCCGCCACATCCCTCACCTTGTTATGTCACTGCCGCATCACCAGCTGTCCCATTAAAGTGAATGGGACTGTTGGTGAGTCAACAGCGGGTCAGAGGAGGACCCACTGCGAGAGAGATGACAGTTGCTCTTTAAAATTATGATTTAAATCATAATTTGGGAGTTTGGCTCGAGACTCATGATTTAATTGGGGTAACTGCCAGAATCCTGACATCAAGTTGATTTAAATAAAGCCTTTTTACTAATATAATATATATGATGGTAACTATCAGAAAACATCACAAAATATTAAAAGTTTATCATCTTGTGCAGCTGCATTGCTAACTGTCCAGGGTTGCTTGTGGCTCATAGGATATGCCTGTTCTAAAAGAGCAACAGATTATAAATCTAACAAGCAATTTAAAACTATAATAAAAAACATTTTAATGTTTAATGTCTGCTGCTGGCAGACTGATAGTTGGACATAACAAAATGTCATCATTCTAAACATGACAGTTAAAATTTATTTATTTATTTTATTTTGTCAAGCAATTATTAGATAACAGGTATAAGTGGAAACATGGTTATAAATACATGAAATGGATACGAGTAAGAAAAAAAGAAACAATAGGACAGGGATGGTAGGCACAGACAAAATATATAGATTTGCAAATATGTCCATCTTTCTCAACAGGATTTGGGCAGTTCCTATTTTCTAATGTTTAAATAAATAGAGGACATATAGCTAGATGATAACATATTCTGGCTTAACTCAATCATCATCATACTATTTCTGGTTGCTACCAATGCCTTTCCCCTATTCATATCATCAGCAACTGCAACACAGAATGAGAAGTTCCTATGAAGCAAGAATATTTTAGGTATTCCTAAGTCCATAGGACTTTTTTTCTTGTGCAGTTTACAAAACATACATTTTAAGTCTTTTAGGATATATCTTCATTTAATCATAATTGTAGTAAAAGAAAAGTAAAGATATATGATGTTGTTGGATATTACAAATACATATGGTCTCAATCCTATATTTTGGTATAATTAATTCTGTATTTCATACTCCAATGATTTTGTCTTCCAGTTCACTTAGTTGTAAAATTAATATGTTATACAGAATGCAAGAGAGCAGTTTTTAATTAGAAAAAGAAATCTAAAGTATTTCTATTTGTTTCAAACTTCATGTAATTGTTTGGTTGCAATTCTGTATGAAGAAATTCAAATTTAGTTCAATGACTTACTTTTGAGTATTCAGAGCATTGTGGTATTCAGTTGTAAAAACTGTTTTCAACCATTACGAGTGAAGTACATTTGTAACAATGTTAACAGATCATGGAAGTATAATAGTGTCTGAAATATAGCCAAGGCCACAAAATAGATTTTTTGTTTTCCAGATTAAATTCCAGTTGTTTATCCAAAGGAGAAAATGTCACTTTAAGTAGGGAGTCAACTAATTCCCACCCTCCTCATTTCCATCCACTAAGAACAGGGCTGTCAAACTTTCAGGGCCGTGGGCTAGATGCATCATGTGCTGGCCATGCTCACACCCAGTTTAGCAAAGAGGGAAAAAGTCCCAATACATCATATGACGCCATTGTGACGTGAGTTTGACACCCCTGTACTAAATGGATTGTGGCAAAGACATATTTTGACACCCCTGCACTAAATGGATTGTGGCAAAGACATATTACAAGTCTTGAAATTATAGCTGACAGTTCTCTTGCTTCTTCCTCATTATAACAAATGCTTCTAGCATTCTTATAGTATAGATTCTTATGGCTTCTCTCTTCATCGTCTTTAACTTTTCAGTATACTTTTTAAAGTTTATGATCAAAATAATATACTACATCATTTACTATGGTAGCAATATAACTAGAATTATGGTATCTAAATAAATAGGTGCTTATTTTTAACTGAAATAGGCAAAAAGCCTTCAAGGATGCAAAAGAAGATTTCGAGAATGGGACTGCATTTCACCTAACTCAAGAGTACATGTTCTTTGAGAACACAAATTAAAGTTTAAAACCAGACTTTTTTCCCCTAAGTCTTACGGCTGTAATATTTCAAACTTACAGATAGATGTGCATAGATACTCATTTAGTTAAAACCATATGTAAACATATTGAAAACTTTTTGAAATCCATGTGTTTTCCCACCCCTACCCTTCTTTAGATAAAGTAACAGCATCCATTTTAGATCAGAACTGTTGGTTATTCATGGCTGACAGACTATATCAGCTACACAATCAGCAAGCAAGGAAATGGTTTAAAAATAGAACAAACAAATGAAAAGATAAAACAGACAATCCACCCCCAAGGGTGTGTGTATATGTGTATGTATGTGAAAGTCATGTAACCCCTCATACATGGAGACACAACTGTTTTTCTCTGCTGTGGAAGGCAGACTATATTTAAATGTCTATGGAGATTCTCAGTCATCCAGGTTTCCAAAAGTGCTTTTTTCAAGAGGCAACTGGACTTTCTATTTTTTTCTTTGAAGACCTTTCGCTTCTCACCCAAGAAGCTTCTTCAGCTCTGACTGGATGGTGGGGAATGGAAAGAAAGGAGTGGAAGAAGCTTCTTGGATGAGAAGCGAAAGTCTTCAAAGAAAAACTAGAAAGTCCAGTTGCCTCTTGAAAAAAGCACCTTTGGGATAAGATTATATTTACCATTCCGAAAGCCTCCGTTATCCATTGGTAATTCTGTCACAGTGAAAGCGAACAAAGCAACAGACACCACATCAAAGAAAGATATCATTTCAAAACTAAATCAAACACGAAAGAAACCTCTAGGAAATACTCCAAATCTTGAATGCTTGCCAATTGTATCTCAATCAATGATTCCCCCCCAAAGAAGACGACGCGAATTCCTTCCTTGTAGCCTATTCAGAGTAGTCGCAATAACCTGGCGATGCACAGAGAAGGCTCTTACAAGCATCTCAAGGCGTGTCGGAGAAAACGTGGGAAGAAGCGCGCTCGCTACGTTTAGCGCGGTTCCTCCTCGAAGCCAAGCCGAAATCAGAGGCTCTGCTAGGTCATCCTTTGCTCGCCTCGGATGATTCCTATAGCAACCCGGGGCAACCTTTCTTGCCTCGTCCCTTCAAGCAAGTCTCGTCTCAACCTCGCTATCCCGGAGTCTTCCACCCGCCCGGGCATTGGGAAGACCGCGATCTAGACACCCGCCATCTAGATACCCGTCCCTTTGCCGAGTTGGAGGTCTGGCTTCATTCCTCCCTCCTTACTAACCTGCCCAATCAACCGAAGCAGCGAACGCAGGGAACCTCTCAAGACCTCTCCGACCGGTTCTTCGAAGGAATCCCTCGGCGGAGCGGGATCCTGGGGCGGATTCAAGCGTACCTCTCCTTCCGCGGAGGCCATGACAGCCCATGAAAACAAACGCTATTGGTCGCGTAGGGGATTGCGTGTCTCCCACTCTTCGCCTGCCTCGTGTCGCACAGAGATGACGGCATAGGCTTCCTTTTCACCCACCCCACCCCCTCTCCCCACGCTCCCACTTTAGGAGTCGTAAATCAGCCTGAGAGTGGGACGCGGCCGATCTGCCATGGAGGGAAAAGGCCGGGCTGTGACGCTTCTGCGATGCTGCCTCTTTCTCCCCCCCCCCCCCCCCCAGGCGTTGCTCTATTCTCGTCCTCTCTTTTTGGAGAAGCGGGCGCTTAGCCTTTTGCGATGTTGCGAGCCGTGTGCGTAGGAAAACAGATTTGTTGGAACAGCGATCTGGAACCTGCATTCGAAGAATGCGAATAATGTCCTGTTGTTCTGGAAAATGGCATTTTGAACCGAATGATCAAATCCTGCAGCTGGGCTACAGTATTTGATGGTGGTTCAGCGTCACTCCTCTGCGCATGGCGCTTGGTAGTTTAGTCATCCTGCTTTGACCCTAGGAATTAAAATCTCAGTTCGCTGTAGAAAAGCCCACGGAGGAAGGCGATGGGAGGAAAATAGGGTTTCAACGCCGATGGAGGGCATGTGAGCCTTGAAAAGTGATGCGTGAGTTGAGACTATCATGTCCTAATGGGGCTAAGCAAGTGTGAAATCAAAAGCTATCTTAGGAAGCCCCCCCCCCCTCCTAGAAGAATGAAATACTTTGGGAAATATTAAAAAGGCTGGATAAAATATTTCTTCTAAAGGAGAAATAATAAGCTTAAGGGAGGCAGAAACCAGCCCCCCCCCCTTTCCTTGCCCCAAGGAGAAAACTGAGGAGGCCAGCTTTTAGAAATGCAGATTTGGTAATCCATTCAGAAAGATTGGCTCAGATAGAAACTTCAGATAAGCAACAAATAAAAGATTGACAAAATTAGCTCAGATAAACACATAGGATTTGCATTTCCCCTTTTTCCTTGTAGAGCCAGCCATGACCCCATAGGAATCTGACAACAGCCAACAGAATATCAAAGGACATGTTCTTGCACAGGAACAGGAAGTTCAAATACAAAGCCCAAAAAGGTATAAAACCCACCAATTCTTAATTCCATTTTGTTAGCTGCCCAGAATCACATGCGGTTGGTGGTTCTGCTTCATCAAAAAAGAGAACCTTTCTTTCCAATCAGCCTCCAGTCTCCATTTTGTTTCCAGTGCCTTTCTTCCAGCTTGGAACTGAACCAGATAGATTTTCCTTCCAACTCTATGCTGTGGTTATTGGGGCAGGGGCTCAAAAGCTTAACACTGGGAAACCCAGGGGAAATATATTTTAAAAAATATTCATGTTTCGTCTTCCTGTCCAGAAAGAACCTTATATACATTATTAGATCACTGGTGCATTGTATATTGCACACACAAGGATAAATTCTGCAGAAATAAGTCAAAAGCCAAATCTGAAACACCTTGATTTAATGTTAACTGCTGGTAATGGAAACAATCCACCAAAGTTGTTCAGCATGAGACTACTGTGGATTTATTTCAAGGTCCTCAGGTGGACGTACCCTTGCAAGTAAGTCCTCCTTATCAATAAAGAGTGGAACTTTTGTCCCTACATTACCTTTTTCTTAATACTCTGTATTGTAATATGTATTTTAAATAAATGACTAAAATTATTTTCAAAATCTGGGACTACAGCTTTTTTTGGCACATTTTCATTCTTAACAATTAACAAAAACTATCTTTAGTAATGTGGGAAGTACATCCCAAAAGGACAGTGCCAGAAACCTCACAGCACCAGAAACTTCAGAAAACAGCGCCAAGGAACTCAAGCCAGCCCTTCCCCTTTTAAGAAAACCAAGAATCGCCAGCTGAAAGAAAATACTCAGAGCAGCCTGCTAACGGCTATTACAAAAGTAACAAAAGCTGACCACAGAAATACTTAAGTAGGGCCATTAAGATAAGGGGAATTGACTAAAAATGAACTCTCTAAAGGTAAACTGAAACTCCCTTTTTCCTGCCCCCTGACAAGATTAACACCCCCAGGATAGGAAAGACAAAGGTCCTGAGACAGGATTAACCCATTAAGGCAGGGAGACAGGATCCAAGGCAATCACTTTAACTAGAGGCACACAAACTCATCAAGCCGCAGGAGCCTCAAAGGGGAATCAAGCATAAAAGACTCAGATTTACACTTCCAATCTGCTTGCAACCCAGGAATATTTGAGCTGTGTCATACCTGCTTTTTGCCTTCTTTCATTATTGAATCCCACTTTCTGCCAGCTGCTTTGGAATTCAGTTCTTTTCAGCGTCCATGATTTTTCCCAGCTGGGAACAAACTCAGGAAAATTTCTTCCAACAGTAATCTGGTATTCTAGTTTTAGTACACTGCATAACTACTTTCTATGGTACTTGGATAAAGTAATGTAAACCATATTTTAGGGATAGGGCTTAAAGAGAAGGGATGAAAGCAGCACAGATGGTGGCAATTTTCTGGGCAACCTGCTCTCTCACAGTGCCATGCCTGCAAAACTGATTGGTACTGCTTTTATCCTTTAAAAATGATACATATGACACAGGAACTACCAAGGTTGGAAATCTCATTCTTTCTCTCTTAAGTAGTGTTAATTAACCAAAATCATCATGAGTAGCATATTGAATAGAACATCTTTGGGTCTATCTAGGGACAGCTATAGCATATGACGGATGGTGCATTCAATGTAAAAAGAGTAAATGGTACAAAACATGAATTAAATAATGGTATGTTGTGTGTCTATGAAACCAAAAGAAAAGAAAAACACTAATTTGAGTGGAGCTAATGCATGCAGAGGAGTAACGATTTAATTGTAAATTATAAATGAAAGGGCCAAAAACATACATCAGAAAGTTATAAACTGTTATAATCTAAGCCATGGATACATATGAAAGGTTTGCAATAGCTGCATTTGCACTCTACTAGATGGTCTAGGGAAAGAACCAAAGATGAGTTTTGGAGAAAAGTTGTAATGTTTTGAATGATGTGATTCAGTGGGGAAAAATATTATGCTAGGTTAAAAATAGATGAATGCATAGAAACAAGATTTATTAAAAAAAGAATTTGGAGAATCAACAGTGAAGGAGAGTGGTGACTGGTAAGAGATTGCTTAGAAAAATGATTGTTTTGAATACATAGCTCTTTTTTATATACACATGGCAAAGGAATGAATAGAAATCTAAAAATAGTGTTTAATTTTTTTTTGTCTGATGATAGAAGATATTGTGAAGGCTACAAGACTGATGATTACTCTAAATATGATGAATACTCTAAATTTTACTTTTTGGTAGCTTGAAAGAATCTTGGGGGGAAAAACTATAGAAGAAAGGAAGGATTGAAAACAAATAAAAATAATTACATTAAGAGAAATAAATTTTACCTATATGAAAAATTAATTAGCAGATGTATTTCAAAATTGTGGGAGTGCAAAATGATATAAAGAAAGAGGATGTGGAAGTGGCTTGGACATGACTCTTTTTTACTTAATGACAGAAGTATGTGGAGTTGTGGTATGAAAAATAATAAATATGAAAAACAATATAGCACTTGGAATAACAATCTGAAAGAGGGAGGGGGAAATGCATAGAAGAAAATGATTGCAACAAGAAATGAAAATGACAAACATACAATATCCATCTAAAGAGAAAAAAGACAACTGCAAAAATTCAGGAAGAATTAAAATTAAACCTAGAAAACACAGGCAATTTTGATGGAAATTTTTTAAAAACTTATAGAAGGGGAGTGAAGCAGGCTGAATAAGAAGCTTCTATCAAAGTGAATGTAATAAATGATTAAATTATTGGGATAAAACTGAACCAAGGAGTACTTTAAAGATTTATAGTGCTGAAGAGTGGAACTTAAATCAATGCTATAAATGGGGAAATATTAAAAATCAGTAAGACTGCAGGTGTAGATGGTGTAAATTGTAGACATGTTAATGTACAGTTATAGTTTGTTCGTTAACTGCCTGACTTAGTAATATATATGTGAACGCTGTTATTTTTTTGACTTAACAAAGATGTAAGCTTGTGGGAAGATAATAGAAGAATGGAACGTAAGCAGTCAAGAGATAGAACAAGTCTATTGAAAGTTCTTGTACATATAGCAATTGTCAGCCTGGTGGTAAGGAAACTGGGAAGAAACATTTTAAATAATTCATAGACTCTGTATCAATAATGGCTCTCTAAATAAGAGATGGAAATCCTTATTATAATCTCACTATTTTGCATTTACCCCAAAACTGTCTTTAAAAATATCTTATAGAAGTCTGCATATTTCTTGCTTTCTTGATCTTGGCCAGCTCTGTGGGACTTGACAAAGATTAGAAAGAATAAACACAAAAGCTGTAGTTTGTATTTTGCACATTCTGATCAAAATAGTGCAAGAAGAGAGAGAAAAAAAGACTATTGGTGTTTTTGAACTTTGGTGTTGAAGAAGACTTTTGAGAATACTATGGAAAGCCAAGAAAACAAACAAAAATAAAACATCAATTCAAAGTTTTCACTTTAGGCATAAATGACCAACCACAAACTATCATATTCTGAATACAGTATGCAAAGACCCTGTTCTCTTGAGAAATTCATAACACTAGAAAAGGTGGAAGAATAGAGAAAAAGAGAGTGACCAGTAGCAAGGTAGATGGACTTGATTACAGTTGTAATGAGTCCCTATCGAAAGACATGAAAGGATTGGGGGAAATCATCCAAGAGAAGCTATACATAGTCACTAAAATTGATATTAACTTGATTGCACATACATGTAATCCTCAACTTATAATCATAGATCTAGTGAGTTTGAAATTACAATGGCACTGAAAAAAATGGTTTACAGTTAATCCTTGTACTTATGCCCGTCACAACGTCCCTGAAGTCACATGATTAAAATCTGAGTGCTTGGCAACTGGCATGTATTTACAACAGTTGTAGAATCTAAGGGATGTGTGATTGGCAACTACAACCTTCCCAGCTGGCTTTTGAAGAGCAAAGTCAATGGGGAGCCTGGATTTGCTTGACAATCATGTGATTCATTTAACAATTGTAGCAAAAAAAATGTTGTACAATTCACAATTCACCCAATTGTTTA